CCCCTTAGTCCATGTTTGCGATCGCCAGACCCTCGCATCTTTCGGCGGCGAGCGAAGGGGCTAAGCGAGAAGGGGCGGTCCTTCTCAGAAGGTTCGGAAGTCCCCCGGCCTTCTAAGAAGCTGTCGGCGCCTTCCCCTGAATAAAGCACACAAACTTCTCGGAAGGCGCGAGGGCTCCTGAGAAGTCTTGCCGCCTTCTGAGAAGGCCTTCTCCTTCTCACTTCCCCCCTTGCTGGCCGCCCAATCTTCTTGACCGCAAGATTGGGCGGCTCTTCGCATCGGTCCAAAAGAAACGCAGCGGGCGGCTTTGGATCTGGGACCAGAGGGCAGCGAAGGACGACAACTCTGGCAGGAGCCATCAGAATCCGACGAGAAGGATATGATTAAACGCCGAAGCTGATCGTTCCTGAGTCATTACCAGCCCGACCAAAGTTTCGAGTCGAATACAATAATGATTAGAACCACGCGCGCTGCGCGCGCTTAGGTTCTAGCAAAACCCAGGCCGTGACAAGTTCACAGATCCTCTGAAGTAGTTACCCGCAAATGGCTCGAACATGCAGGAATTACACCGAAGCGTCACAAAACGCGGGTCGAACAGAGATCAATTACAGAAAATAGCACACCCATACAATGCAATGCAAACCAATGCAAAGCAGAGAAGAGAATGGAGTGCCCACACTTGTACTGCAATGCAACGCGGTGCCATGGAAACCAGATGCGAGCACCATGCAGCGAGAAGCATTGCAAGCAAAAAAATACAAAGCATCTGAAAAGAAAGGCAATGCGATGCCACGCAACAAAATGCAAAGCAGAGCAATGCCCTCCAAAACAAGGCCGCTTGCGGAGCCGTGCCTGTACACATCCGTCGGAAAGCAACCAAATGAAAAACAATGCACAATAACACAAGAGGCCGCACGAACCCGAGAGTTCCAGAACCTCAGAGATCCCAGGGATAAGGTGCGCAAAACATGTGGTGGATGCCCCTAGTCCGTCGGTAAACCTCATCATGAGGCTAGCGCACCAGCTCGTCGTTTTCCTCGTCCCCCTCCTTTTCCTCCCTCTCGCAATCGATCCCCCAGCTGGTCGGCCAGCCCTGGCCGGAGACCGTTTAGATTGCCACGCAGACTTCTTTTGGTGGTCTCCAAACCAGGCGGTGAGACACCCGGTGGTGACCCCGATTCCCCCCAAAAATGATTCTGGGTCACCTCCGGGTTTGGGGACACGCGGTCGCCACGAGGTTTTGCGTTTCCTGGGCCAGCCAGCGCTCGAAAACCATTACCCAAATCGCCCAAAACTCACCACCGGGTGTTCTCACCATCACGTTTGGGGACCACCAATTCTTACGGGGACAAAAAAAAAACGAGGCTGCCGGGCAATAACTGTCACAGGTAGCCCCTGGTCCATCGGCCACGCGGCCGGGACAAGCTAGAAATGTTCTAAGTTGGCCTCGGGGAGGCAGGATTTGCCCGCTCGGATGCGGCCATAGTCTGGAAGCCACGTCAGACCCTAATCCCCTGAACCCTAGATCATGTTCCGTGGGCTCTGCATGTCCACCTCCGGCTTTTCCTTATCCCACGTAGTGGGATTGTGCTGCTGCTATTTCAATGCTATTCTCCTGGCACATGGCCTAGTCTGGCCTACTCCAGACCTGGCGGCACTTTCAGATTCTGGGTTATCGTCTGTTCCCGCATTGTCCATTTCAGCTCTACGTTTGCGCTGCCATCTGTCTCAGTATCCCTGGGGTGCTAGCGGTGACGCCGCTTAAACCGTATTGGAAACCAACATGTGTTGCTTCTTCGTGACTTCGGCCCATGCCGCCACCGTTCCTGGGTTGTGGGTTAGAGGCTTCTTGGAAGCTCGTTGGGATATCGTGCAAGGCCTCTCGGGGGCCTTTTGGGAGCAGTTTTGAAGCCTCCGGGGGGCCTGTTTGGAGCCTCTTGGGGCCTCTTTTAAGCCTCTTGGGGCCCTTCTTGGGCCTCTTGGAGCTTCCTGGGGGCCTCTTGGGGCGGAAGGCTCGAATTGTCGGTTCGTGTTCCCCCTCTTGGACCCCTCTTTGAGGCCGTCCTGAGGCCCTCTTGGGCCGTGCTGGGCGCCTCCTGGGCCGTTGGGGAGCCCTATGGGGCCCTCTTGGGGGCGAGGTTGGAGGCTTCTCGGGCAGTCTTGGAGTGTCGGACTCTTGAAAACGGGAGAACGCGAAACACATAGAAAAAAACAAACTGGAAATCAATGGTGTTCGCCTCTTGGAGCCCTCTTGGAGGTCCTCTCGGAGCGCTCTTGGAGCCCCTTGGGGGCCTCTTGGGCCATCATGGAGCCATCTTGGGCGGCGTGGTGTGCTCGTGGGCCGTCGTGGCGGCTTGTGGGCGTCAGCTGCGGGCGCCGAGGAGGGCCCTGGAGGCGCAGGGAACGCCCTGGAGCGTTCGGAAAGGAGCGCCGGCGCGGGGGATCAAAGTGGGTTGCGGGGGCGGCTGGGAGTTTTTGAAACGTCGGGGGCCCAGGGCTGGGGCCGCAGGCGCCCGTCACATGATAGACTGCGAGGACGACGCCCCAGCAGGAGTAACAAACTGAAAGCAAACGAGTGCGCCTTCGTCGGACTCTGCATGCATGGGACGGCGGCGCACAACGGAATGACGACCCGATGTTGGCACGGCGCAACCTCTAACGCACCTCGCAGTTTGACAGTCCTGCAGTGGTGCACAGTACCACGATCGCGGCGCCATGTCTGTATACACCCACTCAACCAATGCGTTATCCGTATAAGCCACGGCAGTCTTACACGCCCCACAGGTCGTGCCCACGGGGCTAGGCAAAAGCACGTGCGGCTAGCGGCGGCAACCTAGGAAAGAAACCGGGGCTCGCAGAGCCAAGCGGAGGAAGGTCTGACCTGCTGGGGTCCATCAGCAGTGACCGCGAGCAGGGAAGGTGTGGCTGGGCCAGAGCCAGTCGGTGCGAGTGACGGCAAACAAGCAGAAGCGGCAGCTGGGGCTTCTGGCTACCTACCAGACCACCCCAACCCAACCCGAAGACCCGAATTTGACCCGAATTTCGGGTTGGGGGGGTACGGGTTCCAGGTGCTTTGTCAACGTTCCCCGACCCCCCCCACTGGAAATGGAGGGCAAATTGAGGCCTTCGGGTTGGCTTGGGGTGGTTTGGTAGGTGGTGAGCTTCGTGGATGAGGAGAAGCCGGCAGGGGCCAGTGTTGGAGGCCTGGAAATTGGCACCAACACCAGCACAGGGGTTTGCCTCCACAGGGAGATGATGATCTTAGATTTCGGTGTTGGTGGTAATATTTCGGTCACCTTGGAAGCCAGAATATTACCACCATCACCGAGATCGGGATCGCCTTCCCTCGGTGGAGGCACACCGCCGATCTCGGTGTTGGTGTCAATCTCTAGGACTCCGACAGTGGCGGCAGCCAGCGGTGGCGGCAGTCAGAGCACGCGGGGCCAGGCGGGGTCTGCTGCGGGCCAGCGGCAGCAGCCCGGGTTTGCGGCAGCCAACGCTCGTGGTACCGCGCGGAGCCCACTAGCGGCAGGCAGTCGCGGCCAGCCCAGGCGGCAACACGGCCTGGTGGACCAAGAAGATGACAGCTGAGACAACCCCCATCAGTGGATGCTTTGAAGATTGATACCATGGGTCTCGAGATCGACTGTGAGATCGATCCTGAGATCGACAGTGGAATCGATAGTGAGGACGATGTTAGGGTTGATCGTGAGACCGAGAGTGAAATCGATTCAATGAGATCGATAATGAGATCGATCGCGAGATCGCTCATGCGATCTCTAGTGAGATCGCTTGTGAGATTGATAATGAGATCGATTGTGAGATCGTTGGTGAGATCGATCGAGAAAACGGTAATGAGATCGATGGTGAGACCGATCGATAAGAAGATCGACCAAGAACCCGGGAGCCCGGAAACCTCGCCTAACCCGGAACCGGGAACCCGGGAACCCGGATCTGGGAACCCGGGAACCCGGAGCCGGGAACCCGGGAACCCGGGAACTCGGGAACCCAGCCTGCCACCAAAATCGGCGGGGAATTTTCGCCAAATCCTTAAACATCCGCTAGGACCCCTTCAGTGCAAGCACTGATTGGGGAAAAACTTGTAGAAGCTTGTGGCGGCAATCGGCGTTGGTGACAACCAGGCAATGAGAAGCATGAGCTGGTAGGGGCCGGTCACAGCAACAAACACTGGTGACAACTTTGACGGGTCCTAGATGCTGAGATGCAGCAACCAGCACATAGTGGCGACCAAGGCTGGTAGGGCTCGAAAGGGGCTAATACGGGCGGGTGCAGCGACCAGATTCTCAGCGATCAGCGCCAGCGAGACCGGTGGCGGCACCCAGCAGCGTTGGCGGTAATTAACGCTACCGGGTACTGCAACCAGGGCTGGTGGGGCTGATGGTGGCGATCAGCGCCGGCAGCAGCAGCAGACATGACCAGTGGGACTCATCAAGGGATAGGAGACAAGGATTAGTGGCCAGTGGTGGCAACAAGCTTTGACAGCAATCTGTGCTACTGGGAGCAGGCAGGGCATATAACGAAAGTAAGGGCTTGTGGCAGGTGGTGGTGGTGGCAGCAAGAGTTGACAGCAATCTGTTACAGTGGAAGTAGGCAAGGGCTAAATAGCAAAGAGTGCCCCTGAAAATCGAACACAGTGACGCGGAATGATGTTCTCCATCAACAACAACAAAAAACATAACGTACCCTCGCACAACAACTTTCCAGGCGGCATACACAGAAGCTGATCACAGGCGCGAGACAAGTTCCCCTCCCCAAAGTGGAGCACGACCTCCGGATTGATCGGCGGTGCCAGAGCTGCCCTGGCCCTCCGCCTTAAGGGCAAACTCTCCCCCTGGATTCGCCGCCTCCTCCAAATCGCACCGAAGCAACACGAGTGATCTTGCGGACAGAGAGAGAGAGAGAGAGAAAAAAAAACAGAGAGAGAGCGTCGCGGCGCCCAGCACAGAGCGCGGAGGCCAGCGCGAGCGCGCCCGATCTCAGACCTCGCTGCCCACTCATCCTCCCAGCTCCTCGATTGTCGCATCCTCGATGGTGTCGACTTCTCTGGGACATGCTCGACCGCCCAACGTCGCCAATACAACTGTCACAACTGCGTCCGCGTTATCACCTGATCTGTTCGCCACCTCCTCCTCCTCCTCCTCCTCCCAACTAACCCGAGGAAGCAATTAAGAACCCCCCCCCCGCCTTTCCGGCGAAACGATATCCCCCGGCACCTGGAAGCGTTATTCTGGCACCTGAGGCTAGGAGGAGGAGGAGGAGGAGGAGGAGGAGGAGACAAATCGCCCGAGACATCCTCGCATTTCTTAATAGAATTGGCCAAATCGCCTGAAACATCCTCACATTTCTTAATAGACTTCGCCAACTCGCCTGCGACATCTTCACATGTCTTAATAGAATTGGCCAATTCGCCTGAGACATCCTCATATTTCTTAACAGCATTGGCCAAATCGCTTGAGACATCCTCACATTTCGTACGAGAATTGGCCAAATAGCTTGAGACATCCTCACATTTCTTACGAAACTTCGCCAACTCGCTTGAGACATCCTCACAGATTGCCCAAATCACCTGAGACATCAACGCGTTTCTTAATAGGATTGGCCAAATCGCCTGAGACATCCTCATATTTCTTAACAGCATTGGCCAACTCGCTTGAGACATCCTCACATTTCGTACGAGAATTTGCCAAATAGCTTGAGACATCCACACATGTCTTACGAAACTTCGCCAAATCGCTTGAGACATCCTCACATATTGCCCAAATCGCCTGAGACAACAAAGCGTGTCTTAATAGGATTGGCCAAATCGCTTGAGACGTCCTCACGTTTCCAAATAGAACTTGCCACATTGCCTGAGACACCCTCACATTTCTTTCCTAGAATTGGCCAGATCGCCTGAAACGCCCTCACATGTCTTAATAGAGTTTGTAAAATCGCGTAAGGCATCCACACATTTCTTAATCGAATTGGCCACATCGCCTGAGACATCCTCGCAATTCTTATCAGCATTTGTTAAATCGCTTGAAACGTCCTCACATTTCTTAACAAATTTGGCCAAATCGCCTGAGACATCATTACATTTCTTTGTAGAATTGGCCAACTTACATCAGACATTCGCATGTTTCTTAATCGAATTTACCACATCGCTTGAGACATCCTTACATTTCTTCGTCGAATTGGCCAAATGAGATGAGACATCCCCATATTTCTAAATTGAATTGGCCAACTCGCCTGAACCATCCTCGCATTTCTCTCTAGAATTGGCCAAGTCGCCTGAGACATCCTTACATTTCTTAATAGAATTAGCCAACTCGAATCAGACATCCTCACATTTCTTAATCGAATTGGCCAAATCGCCTCAGACATCCTCACATTTCTTAATCGAATTGGCCACATCGCCTGAGACATCCTCGCAGTTTTATAAGCATTTGCCAAATCGCCTGAGACATCCTCGCACTTCTTAAGAAAATTTGCCTACTCGTCGACTCGTACTCGCCTCGCGTTTCAGATGTTGATTTTTTTTGTCTTTCTCAGTTTCTCTTAGCTTTTCCTTGGTTTCCCTGTGTTTTCCTAGCTTAGCATCGCCCTCTTCCCCCTCTTCCTCTTCCTCCTCCTCCTCCTCCTCCTCTCCGGTTCAGATCCTCGCCCTCCTCCTCCCCCTCCTCCTTCTCTTTCTGCCAAGTTCTTAATCCTTTTCCTCCTCCTTCCTCCTCTCTCCCTCCTTCCTCAATGCTTTCAGTGCTCAGGAGAGTTCCTGCCTGTGCATGTGACAGTTCTCGCAATAGCAGGGCGACCTCTCAGTGCTCAGGAGAGTTCCTGCCTGTGCCTGCCGCCCTTTCAGAGCTCAAGCGTTCCAGCAAGATGATTCCAGCGTTCCAGCGAAATCGCTCGTCCAAAAAAAAAACAGCTTGCAACCCATCGTTGCTAATTCGATTCAGCTGTTTCAGTTTCAGGTATTCGTCTACAGATTCTCTGCCTCAATCAGTGCTTCTTGCTCGTTGTCAAATCGATATGTCTTGGTAGAATCGGCCAAATTCCCTGAGACATCCTCACATTTCAAAATAGAATTTGCCAGATCGCTTGGAACATCGTCATACTTCTTCATAGAATAAGCGAATTCGCTTGAGACATCTTCACATTTCTTGACAGAAATGGCCAAATCGCTTGAGACATCCTCGCACTGCTTAGTTTAATTGACCAACTTGCCTGAGACATCCGCAGACTTCTCAGAAGAGGCAGGATTAATAGAGGAGATTGGCGTTCAAGAGCAAGAACAAGAGATAAATAATATTTCAGGAGAAATCATGTCTTCGACGACGCTTACGTCGATGACGGCGTTTTTTGTCAGGGTGCTAAGATAACGTCGCGGTGCGGAGCGGGAAGGATACCGTCGGGTGGGCACCCCCCTACGAAAGCCGAAAAAAACACATTTCCTTAAAAGGAGTTTCAACAGAAACCTCATCTGACAAAAACGAATCAGAACCAAGAGTAAAGGAGGAAGACGAGGAAATCTGCAATTCGCCTGAGGCTGCTAGCATTCCTTATCAGAATTGACCAAATCGCCCGAGACATCCTCACATTTCTTGCTAGAGTTGGCCATATCGCTCGAGACACCCTCACACTTCTGATTACAATGTCCACAATGGCCTGAGACATCCTCGCACGTCCTAGTAGAATTGGCCAAATCGCTTGAGACATCCTCACATTTCCTAATAAAATTGGCCACATCGTTTGATACATCCTCACACTTCCTAGTAGAATTAACCACATCGCCTGAAACATCCACATGTCTTCGACGACGATTACGTTGACGACGACGATTTGTTTTTTTTGTGCGGAGACAACGCTACGGTGCGGAGCGGGTGGGATACCGTCGGGTGGACCACCCCCTACGACGGCCGAAAAACACATGTCGTTGAAGGAGTTCCAAGAGAAACCTCATCGAAAAAAAAACAAGCGAGGAGGAAAACAAGGAAATCATCAATTCGCCTCAGACTTACTAGCATTTTTTTATCAGAAGTGACTACATCGCCTGAGACATCCTTACACTTCTTGCTAGAATTGGCCATATCGCTTGAGACACCCTCACATTTCGGATTACAATGTCCAAAATGGCCTGAGACATCCTCGCATGTCCTAATAGAATTGGCCAAATCGCTTGAGACATCCTCACATTTCCTAATATAATTGGCCACATCGCCTGAGACATCCTTACATATTTTGAATTTGCCATATCGTTTGACACATCCTCACATTTCTGATTACAATGTCCAAAATGACCTGAGACATCCTCGCATTTCTGAGGAGGAGGAGGAGAACAATAATGTTGCTAGTTGCATTAATTAAGGTGTTTAGCAGTCATACACTGCCCAAGGAGAATCGGAAGAGACCAAGACGGCCTAGGAGCCCAGAAGAGTTCAAGACGGCACAGGAGAGTTCTTCGAGGCACCCGACAGAGAGCTTCAGCACCCTTCAACAAGGGTACAGCGCTCCCCCTTCTGGGTCCTCCAAATGTCCCCTCAAGAGCTTCACGCTGGCACGCAGGCTCAGGCCCGGGCTTCAGGCTTTGACCTTCAGCCGCCGAGCGCACGAACTTTCGTCTCCACCTCAGTTTTTCACTCAGGCTCAGTTCCGCAATGTCTCGTCAGAGCACCGATGAGGAGGTTGGTTTGTACGAGAGGTGGTATCAGACTCCTCAGGGCGACGACGCTTTGACTCGACGGGAGGTCAGAAGGCTCAGAGCGGAGGCTGAGACGGAGGCCGCTGTTTGGAAGGCCGCTGCTAAGGCGGAGGCTCAGGAGAAGACCGCGTCAGTCAAGAAGCGTCCTGCAGGGAAAAGCGCGATCAGGAAGAGGCATGCCGCAAAGGTCAGGGGCGAGGCTTCGTCAGTGAAGAAACGCCCAGCGCAGGGAGCAGGAAACAGCAGCGCTCAGGAGAATGAGGATTCCCACAACGGCAGCTACGATGAGCCGGCCAAGGATCAGCCGCAGAGTCAGTTTCGCAAGCCCAGTGAGTTGTTGAACCGCCTCGGGCCTGCAGGCGCCGCTCCTTTCAGGGGCCTTCTCTGACTCCTGTCAGCGTAGTTTTTCCCGGATGTGCTCTCACTGGACGCTGTGTTCAGACCGCAGTCCAATCAGCCCACTGCCCATGACTCGATTTCAGTACTCAGCAGGGAGGAAAGAAGGAGGGAGGAACAGAGGGGGGAACAAGTCAGAAGGGGAGTCGAGCTCAGCCTGTCAGGCCGCTTCAGACCCGAGAGACTGTATCAGCGCGTTTTGGCACCTTCAGCAATTGTATACGTTTTGACCGATTCAGGAATTGTATACGGTTTCAGAAGTCTCTCAGCGCTAGTCAGAGCTGCTCTGCCCTCGCAGCGCTAGTCAGAGCCGCAACGAACCATCGGCATCACCATCAACGTCATCGTCATCGCCATCAACATCATCACCACTTCCTCACAATTCACTCACAGACAAGGCTCCCGCTTGTCTCAGATTCACTTGTGTCAGACATCCTCACATTTCTTAATAGAGAGTTGGCCAAGTTCCCTCAGACATCCTCGCATTTTTATTTAGAATTGGCCACGTCGCCTGAGACATTGTCGCGTTTCTTAATAGAGACATCCTCGCATTTCATGCTAGCATTTGCCCAATCGCTTGAGATATCCTCATAGTTTGCAGTAGAGTTGGCGAAATCGCCTGAGACATTCTCACATGTCTTCATAGAATTGGCCAAATCGCCTGAGACATCCTCGCATTTGTTTATAAAAAGTTGCTCAATCGCCCGAGACATCCTCATAGTTTGTAGTAGAGTTGGACAAATCGCCTGAGACATTTTGACATTTCTTAATATAATTTGCCAAACCGCTTGACACATCATCACATTTCTTAGTAGAATTGGACAACATCTTTTTGCCAGGTGCTCATCCCGCCTCACTCCCTGCTGCTGCTGCTGCATCTGCTGCTGCTGCTGCTGCTCCTCCTTCTCCTCCTCCTCCTCGCCCTCCTCTTCCTCCTTCTTCTCCTCCTCCTCCTCCTCCTTGTCCTCATCCTCCTCCCTCTGCCTGCTGTTGCTGCTGCTGCATCTGCTGCTGCTGCTGCTCCTCCTCCTTCTCCTCCTCCTCGCCCTTCTCTTCCTCCTTCTTCTCGTCATCCTCGTCCTTCACATCATCTTTTTTTTGCCGGGTGCTAAAGACATCGTTCGGCGAAAATGGCCCCTTGGAATATTGAATACAATTGCGGTGCTAAGATATCCCCGGGGGGGTTCTTAATTGCTTCTTCGGGTTAACTCTCCTGACTGACGAACTTCATTGCAATTCAGACCGCAACTAAGTCTGGGAAGTTAGAGTGTAAAAAAAGAAAGACGATCCCTATGCCAAACAACATGGACTCTGACACAACAACGCTGTAAAGATCTGCACACAGGGAACGCTCCCAGCACAACGGTTCCCAGCCAGCCCCCAGTCCAACCAGCCCGGCCAGCCAAAAACAAATCCAGTCAGCTTGTCCAATAGCGCGCCATGCGCGATGTCATCACGCCATGCTTCTCTCTCTCTCTCTCTTATTCGCTCTTCCTTTCTCTCCTGGCCAGCAACACAAACCCAGTCAGCTTGTCCAATAACATGCAATGCGCGATGCCATCACGCCATGCCTGTGTCTCTCTCTCTCTCTATTCATCTTTCTCCTGGCCAGCAAAACAACTCCGGTCAGCATGTCCGATAGCACACCATGCGCGTTGTCATCACGCTATGCCTGCTCCTCTCTCTCTCTCTCTACATATATATATTCATCTTTCTCCTGGCCAGCTAAACAACTCCGGTCAGCATGCCCGATAGCACGCCATGCGCGTTGTCATCACGCTATGCCTGCTCCTCTCTCTCTCTCTCATCTCTCGCTCTCTCTCTCTCTCTTTCTTCATCTCGCTCTCTCTCTCTCTCTCTCTCTCTCTCTTCATCTCTCTCTCTCTCTATCTCTCTTCATCTCTCTCTCTCTCTCTCTCTCCCTCTCCCTCTCCCTCTTTCACCATCTCCGTCACCCTCCCCCCCGTCGCGCTCCCTCGCTCCAGCCCTCGCCTTCCTCCCTTCGCTGCTCCCGCCGCAGTGGCAAGCCTCGTCCTCCCTCCCTCTCGCGGTCGGTCTCCCTCTTTGACTACCTACCAGACCACCCCAACCCAACCCGAAGACCCGAATTTCGGGTTGGGGGGGGTATGGACTCCATATGTGTTTTTTCGATGTTCCCGGACCCCCCCCACTAGAAATCGAGGGTAAATCTGACCCTTCGGGTTGGGTTGGGGTGGTTTGGTGGGTGGTGACTCTTTGCCCCTGCATCATCGCTCTTCTGACCTCGGGCAACCCACCAGGAGGAGCAGGGGGAGGAGGGAGGAAGAAAGAATGAGGAGAAGCAATCGCAGCTGCAAGATGAAGGTAAGGACCACGAGAGGAAACGGAAGATCTGGAAGGAAGATGAGGAGGGGGCAGTGTAAACACAAGACGACATCAACGATGTTCCAAAAAGCCCTCACTCCAAGTTCCCTCTTTACAGGTCCTTCGAAGATACATTCATTGCAGCAAGTGTACCATTGAAGGACAACCGTCCGAAACATACAAAGGAACGATTTCACTTCCCCAGGCTCCAAACAAGAGAGATGCCTCGACTGGACAAGACAAGTGCAACAAAAACAAGAGTTTACGTCAAGGTGACAAGATTTGGACACGCTTCAACTTCCGAAATGATGTCAGAACCCTAGAACGTGCCGAAACACCGCGTCTGGCACTTACCTAAGAGCCGCGAATCAACGTGGCTATTGCGTCCTGACAGACTTGAGTCGCGCCAGAACGACAGTCCAGGGACTTCAACACCACAAATCCTCTTGCATGTTGCATCCTGGCAATCCTGGGCCGTGTTCGGACAGCATTCCCGGGACGTCCCCCCCATGACCCATTGAAACTGCTGCGAACTTTCAAGACGAATGCACGCGACGCTAAGGCGAGAGCTCCAATAAGAAAACGGCCGGCACTCCGTTGTCGAAGCGGTTGTAAGATTCGAGCCTCAAGACTATGAGTGGTGAAGAAATCTCAAGCGAAACGTTTGGCCCGGTCTACGGACACGTCTGCGGGTGTCACAGGGAGAGTTATTGATCAGGAAGAGGGCTGGAGGAGGAGTGGAGTAAAGAGTACTCCAGATTTCGTAATAAAGGGAGGGGGGTCTCATTTCGGGGGGGGGTATCTTCCAGGCTATCTTGGAGGGCCTGGGGGGGTCTGGGGACGGTGTTTTGGAGGATTCTCCCACGGGGGAGGTCTGAAATGGCTTGTCTTGGAGGGTCCAGACCCCCTCCCTTTTATTACAAAATCTGGAGTAATGATCAGGAAGAGGGCCGGAGGAGGAGTGGAGTAAAGAGTAGAAGGGGGAGCGGAAGCCGAGTCTCCAGATCCACCCGCACCGTGGGCAGCGTCACGCGCTGGCTTCCGCCGCCACCGCGAGGTCGGCCTCTGGAGGTGATCCTCCTGGTCCTCATGCTCCTCCTCGTCGTCCAAATCGTCATCGTGGTCGGAAGGAACCCCCGCCCTCTGATCCCTGCCCCCCCCCCCCGAGCGGGACGACGAGGGTCTTTCGGGGGTGCACCTCCCCGCCTTTCTTTGTTGCTTTTGCTGCTTTATGCCTGCTGTTGATCTGTTTCCGATTATTTGTATTGTTTAATGCTTAGCACCTTCCCTCCCTCTCAGGCCATCTGAGCCCACAAGAGCCCCATCGATAGTGACCTCGGCACCAATGTTTGGAGTCTCGCGGGCCGTCTTGGAGGCCCCACGGGCCGACAAGAGAGGCCAAAATCGACCGAGTTCCATTGCTGTCTGGAGGATCATCTTAGCATTCTCGGCGCACCAGTCACACAAGCAGCCCAGACGGCCCGCGGGCCCCGGAAGACCAGCCCACAGACGGCCTGAGAGGCCCCCAGGAAGGCCCCAAGAGGGACCCGAAACATACGCCTCTGTCGCACCGCTGGAAGCCAACCCCTCGAATATGAACTCAAGATCCTGCAGAGGCCCACAAGAGGCCCGAACAGAATCCAAGTTCCACCCGAGTGGGCCACACAGGCCCCCAAGAGCGCCCCAAGAAGCTCGCCAAGATCCTCCACCATGTCCACACGTGAGGTGTTGTACACTGGATGTGTAAATCATGTAGTGTGATCTATGCGGTGTGATCTGCGCAATCTATGTTATGCAATGTGGTGGTATGAGCTTTGCTGATCTATATGTGATGTGGTTTCAGCCATGCGGCGGAAGCTATGTGGTACAATATATGTGGTGCGACCAATGTTGGTTAAACTAATTGGTGCATTAGAGGTGGTCAAATTGTGTGATGTGAGCTGTGCGGCGCAAGCTGTGGTGCGATGTATGCAGCGTGAGCAATGCTATGCGAGCAATCTTGGTGCCAGCGATGTAGTGTACTCAGTTTGGTACGACCTGCGAAGTGCAAGCCATGCGGTACAGTCTACGTGGTGCGATCGATGTTGTGTACGTACGCACGGTGCGCCCACGAGACGCCCACGGGCGGCAACGAGGAGAAACCTCAGCAGACCCACCCGGTGTACGGGGCGCCCACGAGGGGCCCACGGGCGGCGACGCGGCGACACCTCGGCGGACTCGTCCGACTACTTGGCCAGGCAAGCAAGAACCCCAAAGTGCAGACACTCTCTCGGGAGCTGTGACGATACACCGCGCAGTGGCACAGGTTGGCTCTTGGCTGCATTCCAGAACTGGAAAAAAGCCTGGCAGACCCTCTGTCATCTGGCACGTGCGATCTCCCCAGGGGCACCGATCACACACCACAAAGCCATGCACGGCAGGTTCGCGTCGTGTCGACCCCGGCGTTGGTTCCTGACACCGCGGGAATCGTTCAAACTTGAACGATCGGCCGTTCCGTGAACGCCGGATCGTTCAACGACGGGCCGATTCTGGGCCACAGGCGGCGTTCAACCTTAAACGCACGCGCTGGGGTCGCCGCCGGTCGGCACGACGCGAACCTGCCGTACGCGTCATACGGATTGGCAACATCCAGATCAAACCAACCAATGTATCGACGTGCCACACGGCTAGACATCACAAACCTAAATTTCCCTATGTTTCATGGTGACCATGCTCGACTGCCTAAATACCGGAGCAATCGTGGGCATGAAAACACCCACAGGGCCACACAAACACTCATCTGTCCACACTACTTAGCACCTTGTCTCGTCCTACCAGACCCTTCTGACCCCACCTCCGAGATTTTTGTTTGAGGGGGTAGCGGGGTGTTCTGCGTGTTCCTCGAAACCCCTCGTCATGGGGGAGGGGCGGGGTGGGGTGGGGGAGGTCCCTCAATAGCCTCTCTGAACCCGCCCTTGGGGATGGGGCGTAGTTGCGGAGTATACGGTGCTCTCCCACGAACTTACCCCTCAGGGCGGGGGGGGCGGAGATTAGAGAAAATCTTCCCCCAGACCACAGGCTGACCCAACACTCCGAGATGCGGCACTCAAAATCAATGCGGACCCACCCCTCGGGGCGGAGGGAGGAAGGTTAGAGGTGACTCTCCCCTGGGCCACGGGCTGACCAACACGCCGAAATCCGGCGCTCGAAATTCATGCGAACCCACCCCTCAGGGCAGGGGGGCGGGGCGTTATATAGGGGAATTTTCCTCCGGACCACGGGCTGATCGAACGCTCCGAAGTGCAGCGCTCAAACTCAGCGCGACCGCGGGGATCGGGAATTTCTTCCCTTGACCACGGCCTGATCTTCTCCGCCGAATCGCGGCACTCGAGATCAATGCGGACCCATCCCTCAGGGCGCGGAAACGGGGGGGTAGAGGGGGTGAGGGATGATTTGCCCCGGACCACGGACTGATGACGGAAAGAGCGCTAGCTAGAAGTTTTGCACAGGGCTTTAGCCCCAATGTGGGGGGGCTCTGGAGAGGGGGAGGTGGCTGGGGGAAATCCCACAGCCCTCTTGGCGTAGGTGGTTTAAGAAACTGTGTCTTCTCGATGCCAGAACCCCTCCTTCCCCTGCTCGGGGCATGGGTTTATCATTGTTCTCTATTCATATACGCCCCTCCTCCAGGCGACTGGCAGCCAACCAGGAGCAATACCAACCCCATGATCACACACCCCGAAACATCCCTGTCAAAAAAAATGCAAACACACACACACACACACTGCCTCCAACTTCAAAGCATGCGCAACCAATCCGATGCGGACCCCCACCACCATCCCTGTCAAAAAAACAATGCAAAATACACTTTGGGGCAAAGTCTGGAGTCATGTTCGTCAGGCCCGCGAGCACCTTGTTTTGTTTTTGTTGACAGGGACGGCGGGGGTGTCAGCAGATTGCCTGCTGCGCGCAGCGTTATAATCCCTGGCACAAAACAATACACACAATGCACCTCGCGGCTAAATCTGGATGATGCGCGGCCGCCCCGCGATCATTGTCAGGTGGTGGCGCATGGCATGCTGTGCGCAGGCCCACCAAGACACAATGATGGGCATTGGTGTTCGACATGGATGTTGGGGGCCGACGTGTTTCCCGATGTGTGCCGTCACGTGCGCAGGCGCACCTGACACCCTCCGCACGTGCCCCGGACGTGGCGCACCTGGCGCCGCTGGAGTATGCGGCACACCTGGCGCACGCGGAGCACGTGGCGCATCTGGCGCACCAGACGTGCCCGTCACGCTCGGGCCGCAGGGGTGCCTGGCGCGCGTGGCGCGCCTGGCACGTGTGGTGCACCTCGCCCCAGCGTCGCGCACATGGGATCGGTTTTGGTTCCCTATCCACCCAAAGACGACAGCTGAACATACTCAGGCTCGGGTTTACTTTTTGTGTTGGAAAGGCGGGTGGGATTGAGCTAGACGTCTTGCGGGCGGGTAGGTAGCTTGACCCCCCCCTACACCCTCTCCTGGGTCTGGGAGGGGGAGGGGGACGGAGGGGTTAGAGCGTCCAAGATGGCCCAAGATGGCCCCAAGAGGGTCGCAAAGAGCCCACGATGGCCTCCAAGATGGCTCATACCTCAAGATGGCTCAAAATAGCATCAGACAAACATCCAAGATACCCCAAGACGACCCCAAGACGGTTTCAAATGCCCTCCGCGCCCTCAGTGGACCCTCCCAAGAGCCCAAAATGACTCGAACACCTAAAGAATGGAAGCGCGTTCTTCGCCCCAGTTCGCTTCCGATGAGCTCTTGATGCCTTACGATGGCCCGAAGAGAGCCCCGAGACAGGGGCACAAGAGGACCCCAAGCGGGCCCTGAGAGCACCCAGAATCGCCCTAAGAGCGCCCCAAGACGCCATGTCTTGAGCCTCCGAGGAGGGGGAGGGGCTGAATATATTACCCCCCCTCGTTTTCAACTGTGTGCCCAAAATTCCCTCCAGAGGTCCCCATAGAGCCCCAAGAGGGCCCCTGGACCCCCCAAAAAAAGCCCCAAGAGGGCCCCAAGAGTGCCCCAAGTGGCTCCGAGAGGACCCCAAGAGAGACCCAAGATGGCTCTAAGATGCCTCCGAGAAGACACTTCCAAGGCGGTTGTTGCACTGCATGCCTCTAGACGCCCATTGATCAACGCAACTTGCCCGGCGATCTGTTTCTGGATGGCCTGGTGGAGATGTTTTTATTTAAAACATATTATTATTACTTTTTATGATATTTTTTCTACGGCCGCAAGCGAACGCGCCAGCAGCGGGCGAAGTAAGTCGGGCCGCGACCAGCTTAAATTACCGACGGCTAACGCGCGCGACTAGGCGGCCGCGGCGGCGCCGGATGCAGCTAGCAACAACTGCGGCGAGGGCGAGGCTGATCCCAGGGAGAGCTGAACCCAGGGCAGAGCTGCAAGGGGACCCAGGGAAACCCAGGGAGCACCAAATTCGCCAAACCTGACACGCGCTGCCAACATGGCGCGGAATCTGAAGGGGCGCCAGCCGAAGCGTCGCACACCGACAGATCAAGTAATGACCGCTCAAAGGTAGGTAAACCTGCGTCCCAGGAGCAATCATGTGCACCGTGGTCCATGCATAGCGTAGCAAGACCTGTGAATACATAGCAATGCAACCGAGCAGGATGGACCACACCCAATGCCAAAAATGTACCCAAGGTGCTCGCGCGCAGCCAATGGCGAGTGACACCGGGGCAATGAAGGCGGCGCCAGCGGATGCGACGCACGACCAACAGCGACACAAAGTGCGCCACCTGTGACACCGGTGGACCTGTTGGAAACGCCAGGAGCCAAGTAGGATAGACCACACCCGACCCTGTCGCGACCGCACAGAACCTAAGCTGCATAAGGCTGCCCGATGGAAGGCCGGGCCACGGCCACACCCAGGAGAAGCCAGAGTGAAGTGGGGTGAAACAAGGGCGGGCGCGCCCGCGGCTTTAGGTGACGACCTTCCACTGTTTCTGGTCCTTCCTGGGCGCGCGGCGATCAGCGTGGCCCTTCGCCGCCTGGCGCCCCCTGCTCGCGCCGTCACTTCCAC